AGCCAGGCTTCAACAATACGTGAACCATGAACTTCCAGAATTCAAGCTGGTTTTAGAAAGAGCAGAGGAACCAGAGATCAAATTGCCAACATCCGCTGGATCATCAAAAAAGCAAGAGAGTTCCAGAAAAACATCTATTTCTGCTTTATTGACTAGGCCAAAGCCTTTGTGTGGATCACAATAAACTGTGGAAAATTCTGAAAGAGATGGGAATACCAGACCACCTGACCTGCCTCTTGAGAAAACTATACACAGGTCAAGAAGCAACAGTTAGAACTGGACATGGAAAAGCAGACTGGTTCCAAATAGGAAAAGGAGTATGTCAAGGTGGTATATTGTCACCCTGCTTATTTAACTTCTATGCAGAGTACATCATGAGAAATGCTTAGCTGGAAGAATCACAAGCTGGAATCAAGATTGCTGGGAAAAATATCAATAACCTCAGATATGCAGAAGACACCAAACTTATGGCAGAAAGTGAAGAGGAACTAAAGAGCCTCTTGATGAAAGTGAAAGAGGAGAGTGAAAAAGTTGGCTTAAAGCTCAACATTTAGAAAACTAAGATCATGGCATCTGGTCCCATCATTTCATGAGAAATAGATGGGGAAACAGTGGAAACAGTGGCTGATTTTATTTTGGGGAGCTCCAAAATCACTGCAGATGGTGACTGCAGCCATGAAATTAAAAGACACTTACTGCTTGGAAGGAAAGATATAACCAACCTAGACAGCATATTAAAAAACAGAGACATTATGTTGCCAACAAAGGTCTGTCTGGTCAAGGCTATGGTTTTTCCAGTAGTCATATATGGATGTGGGAGTTGGACTGTAAAGAAAGCTGAGCACAGAATAATTGATGCTTTTGAACTGTGGTGTTGGAGAAGACTCTTGAGGGTCGCTCAGACTGCAAGGAGATCCAACCAGTCCATCCTAAAGGAGATCAGTCCTGAGTGTTCATTGGAAGCTGAAGCTGAAACTCCAATACTTTGGCCACCTGATATGAAGAGCTGACTCATTTGAAAAGACCCTGATGCTGGGAAAGATTGCAGGCAGGAGGAGAAGGGGACAACAGAGGACGAGATGGTTGGATATCATCACCAATTCAATGGACATGAGTTTGGATAAACTCCAGGAGTTGCTGATGGACAGGGAGGCCTTACGTGCTGTGGTCCATGGGGTCGCAAAGAGTCGGACATGACTGAGCAACTGAACTGAACTGATATCAGAGATTTTAACTTGTAAGAAAAAAGCTAGAATCAAAGAAGCATAATTAGATATAGGAAATAGAGGAAACATGCAGTAAAAAGCAAGAGCTAGTTTGTGCAGAAACACAGCAAATTCAATTTGAACCATCATGGATCCCAAATATGTTGTTTGGGTATTTATACTGAGATTAATGAATTACTATTAAAATAATGTATATATACTAATTCAGTGGGTGAGTGATTATATATATAATTATATATATATATTTATATAAATATATTTAAATATATATAATTACATATAATTATACATATTTAAACATATATAACATTGGAAATTTTGAGAACGACTGTAAATCTGAAAATCAACTGTTAGAAAAGGTAAAGTTATCCTCATGGAAAGAATCTACAATATTAATTTTAGCATTGGAAGACACCTTCACATTCAAAATCCCAGGGTTCTACCATTTTGAAATCTCTTATTTAGTTTCCACCCAAAACACTTCTTAGCAGGTTCTTTATGAAAGAATATAAAAAACAGTCCCCATCTTCAAAGAAGCTCATCAAAGTGCAGCACAAAAAGAAAGGCAGAAAGAAGGTAAATACCTAACATTCAGAAAATATGTTAAAGCATATTGGGTTTCCAAGGTAAATACTCAATTTGCCCAGCATTTATTAAGTACCGAGTATCTTTCAGGACTCTGAAGTACTCTCTGAAGGGTGTAAAATGTAAGTAAATACAATCATTATAGTAAGAACACTGGAGGCTGGAGACAGAGAAGTTTTGCTTCATGTAGCTATCTATTTGTGAGTGCCAAGGGGATGGAAACACAATGAATGCTGTAGGGATTCAAAGAGGAAAAAGATCATCCTGAATAGAAGAGCTAGAAATGGCAAGATAGGTATCAGAAAATGAACCTTAAGAATATGTTCCTTGGCTAATTCATTTCAATGTATGACAAAAACCACTGCAATGTTGTAAAGTAATTAGCCTCCAACTAATAAAAATAAATGGGGAAAAAAAAAAAAGAATATGTTATTAAGGTCCTGAATAAAGTTCAGGGCTTCCCTGGTGGTCCAGATGTTAAGAATGCACCTACCAATGCAGGGGACACTGGTTCAATGATCCCTGGTCTGGAAAGGGATCATGCCCCACTTGCCCCACATGCAACGGGGCAGCTAAGGGCGTGTGCCACAACTAGTGAGCCCAGGTGCCCTAGAGCACGTGTTTCACAAGAGAAGTCACCACAATGAGAAGCACGCACACTGCAACTAAGGAGTACCTCCCCCACTCCACCGCAACTAGAGAGAGCTGGCACACAGCAAGGAAGACCCAGTACGAGCAAAAGTAAATAAATCTTTAAAAAAAAAAAAAAAGAATATGTTAGTTTAGTAGGTAGAACTGGCAGCAGTAGGTGTTCTAATCAGGGGAACCAGTTTAAATAAAATCATGGAGGCAGGAAGGCATGCACACAGTGCATTGTAGGAAACCCAGAAGATTAGTTTTGAAACACAGACTGGGTTGTAGATAAATGGTCTTGAATGCCAGAATGAAAATTCAGCAGGGCTTAGAGAGTTCTTGATGGTTTTAGACCAAGCTGCTGTATGTTGCTTCAGTCATGTCTGACTCTGTGCGACCCCTTAGAGGGCAGCCCACCAGGCCCCCCCATCCCTGGGATTCTCCAGGCAAGAACCCTGGAGTGGGTTGCCATTTCCTTCTCCAATGCATGAAAGTGAAAAGTGAAAGTGAAGTCGTTCAGTCATGTCCGACTCGTAGGGACCCCATGGACTGCAGCTTACCAGGCTCCTCCGTCCATGGGATTTTCCAGGCAAGAGTACTGGAGTGGGTTTCCATTGCCTTCTCTGTTTAGACTAAGAGAATGATAAAATAAAAATTGTTGAGAATATTCATCTAACAACACTTTGAAACACAGACTGTCAGAGGGAGCTCTGCATAGGGAAATCCGTTTTTTAAAAAAGTCTATTGTGATGACATAAGCAATAAGTAAGATTACTCTTACCTGTCTTATCTACAGTCTAATAATAAAAACAGAAAGAAGGAAATGAAAGGCACACGAGAGATAGAATACACAAAGCTTGTAAACAATGCAGAAAGCAAGGTCAAGCGGGGTTTCAGAACAATAAAAAAAGAATGGAGATGCTAGTGTCAAAACAGGCAAGCTAGAGAAAGGAGCCTGGAGTCAAGAAAGAAGACGAAATTATTTTGTGAACACTATTAAAATAGAAACATCTTAAAAAAAAAAAAAAAATAGAAAGAAACATCTAGGAGCAAACAGAAACTCCTGGCAAAAGTTTGGATTAAAGGGAAAGAAGTCATAAAAATAAAATAAGAAATGCTAGAAAAATCAAACACTAGAAAGAAATTTTTAAAGGTAACTTTTTAAAAAATGAGGCCACTTAGAATTTTCCAAAGAATTTTCAATTAAAATATAGAGATGGAAACCAGACAAGTAGAGAAGTGAAACCATGAGTAGTGAGGAAGTAGAAACAAAGAGTATAAATCATACTTCTAAAAATTGTAATAGAAAGACTTAGTCAATAATAAAATATTAGTTAAGGTTTTAACTAATATAAAGATATTCAACTAATATAAAGATAGTTCTATCTCTCTGGAGAAGATAGTAGAATACTATGGCTTTTTACCAAAAGGATCAAAAATATTTCAATATTTTAACAGTTGGCTTTGCCTTAATAGGGTATGTTGGTTGCATAAAAGCCCTGAACTTTCCCTAAGGAAACTCAAGCACAAGCACAACAGAACACACGAGAGGAATTTTTAAGCAATCCTGATTCACTATAAAACAGAAAATGGATGAAAAAATCTGTGGTCAATTCATATAATGGAATACTCTACAGTTATTAAACTAAAGTATAGCTACAGGCAATATGGCTAAATCTCATAAAAATAGTTGAGAGGGAAAAAAGCCATGAAAGAACACATGCCCTATGACTCTATCTATATAACTTCTAATCTTTAAAACTAAACTATATTGTATAGAGAAGCATAAGTCATAAAAGAAATGCAAGGAAATTATTACTAGGATTGTGAAAGAGAAGGATGGATATAGGAGGGATTCTGAGGCACTGGAGATGTTTATTAATTTTATAATTATTTGATAACTTATCTAATAGCTTTAATGACCTTTATAATTATCTGTTGACTTATCCAATAAGTTTAATGACCTTTTCTATGTTATCTTATATTTTGCAATACTGCTGCTGCTGCTGCTAAGTCACTTCAGTCGTTTCCGACCCTGTGCGACCCCATAGATGGCAGCCCACCAGGCTCCCCCTGTCCCTGGGATTCTCCAGGAAAGAACACTGGAGTGGGTTGCCATTTCCTTCTCCAATGCATGAAAGTGAAAAATGAAAGTGAAGTTGCTCAGTCGTGTCCGACTCTTAGTGACCCCATGGACTGCAGCCTACCAGGCTCCTGCATCCATGGGATTTTCCAGGCAAGAGTACTGGAGTAGGCTGCCATTGCCCTCTCCGATATTTTGCAACAAAGGAAGAAAAAAACGAGTAACAAAAATCCCGCAATAACATTTGGAAGAAATGAGGGTTTGCAGCTGAAACAAGAGAGCACAAATGATGACGTGAAGAGACGGGCAAAGTTTCAGATCACAGCAAACAAAAAAGAGAGAAAATGATTGGAGAACACAAGAGCTGAAATGGTATTTATTCAAAGTCAATTCATTACAGGACATGGAGCACCCTGGATAGAAGTAGAAGAGCTTCTTAAATCAGAGAGAAACTTCCAAGTTTCCCAAAGAAAATGGGCACCAAGGGAAAAGTAAGCAAATATACCATTTCTTTGATAAATTCTTTTGGGATTTTGTGTGTGTGTGTGTCTGTTTATACATATGCTAAAAGAAGTTTCTTTGGGTATTGCTCTCAGAAAGCATCAATTTAAAGCTGATCAAAAGCTAAGTCCCAGGGAATTCCCTGGAGGTCCAGTGGTTAGGACTCTGCACTTCCACTGCAGGGGGCACGGGTTTGATTCCTGGTCAGGGAACTAAGATTCTGCATGCCACATGGCCAGCCAGAAAAAAAAGCTAAGTCCCCATCAGGAGATGTATGGATAAAGAAGATGTGGTATATACACACGAACACACACACACAAAAAATGAACATTCAGTTCAGTTCTGTTGCTCAGTCATGTCCAACTATTTGCAACCCCATGGATGGAAGCACACCAGGCTTCCCTGTCCATCACCAACTCCCAGAGCTTACTCAAACTCATGTCCATCGAGTTGGTAATGCCATCCAACCATCTCAACCTCTGTCATCTCCTTCTCTTCCCACCTTCAATCTTTCCCAGCATCAGGGTCTTTTCCAGTGAGTCAGTTCTTTGCATCAGGTGGCCAAAGTATTGCAGTTTCAGCTTCAGCATCAGTCCTTCCAATGATTTTAAAACTCAACATTCAGAAAACTAAGATCGGGGTACTCTTTCTGCCCCCTTCTGATGCCTATGTCAGAAGCTTTCTCTATCTCCTTTATACTTTAATAAACTTTATTACACACACACACACAAAAGAAAACTAAGATCATGGCATCCAATCCCGTCATTTCATGGCAAATAGATGGGGAAACAATGGAAACAGTGAGAGACTTCATTTTCTTGGGCTCCAAAATTACTGCAGATGGTGACTGCAGCCAAGAAATTAAAAGATGCTTGCTCCTTGGAAGAAAAGCTATGACCAATCTAGACAGCATATTAAAAAAGCAGAGACCAATGATACTTCAAAAACAAGTAGAAAAAGAGGTCGGGTTTGTGGTTACCAGAAGCATGGCGGGGGTTGGGGGGTGGGGGATGGAGAGGAAGAATTGCATGTAGTCAAAAGGTACAAACTTCCAAACCTCCAGTTATAAGACAAATAAGTAGTAGAGATATAATGTACAATATGGTAAACATAATCAACACTGCTGTATGTTATACTTTAAAGTTGTTAAGAAAGTAAATCCTAAGAGTTATCACAGGAAAAAAATTTTTTCTTTCTTTAATTGTATGTCTATATGAGATGATGGATGTTCACTAATCCCACTGTAGTAATCATTTCATCATATATGTATGTCAGATCACTATCCTATATACCCCTTGAACTTACACAGGGCTGTATATCAATCATATTTCAACAAATCTGAAGAAAAAAAATAAAGATGATCAAAAGGATATGAGTGACCTCCATGCTAGGAATTTACTCTAGAAAATAATTGAATTTGCCAAAATACTTACTACAAAGGTGTTCAATTAAATACTATTTATAGTGGCCCATAAAGGAGAGATTTCAGTAACTGTGCCATAATCATAAAATTTGTATTTGTTAAAATGTTAGGAAAGAATATGGAAAATATTCATTGTATATTAATAAGTAGAAAAAAGGAGATTATAAAATGTTACATACAATTTTGTCCCAAGTGAAAAAGCTCAAAGGATCTACTTCAAAATCATAAAGTAGAAAACAAAATTGCAGATGTTTTGTTTCTTTTTTCTTATTTGCATTTCTATGTTTCATTTATAATAAGACTAATGATATTTAAAATACAGTTCAAATTGCATAACAAGTATCAAAAATACATGTTAATGTGAACAAAGACTAGGAATATCACCAAAAGTAAATATAGTAGCATTAGAATGAAGTATAAGTTTATTTCTTTCTACTTTCCTTCAATATTACTTCTATTTAAAATTAAAAATAATATTTTAAGGGGCTAAAATTATAGATTATAGAATCTTTAATGTTTAATTTCTTTTCATATATTTTTATCCATATTTTTTCAAAGGGACAAAATCTTTAATGTATATTCCACTGAGAAGTTTAATAATTATGTAATCCTCATTTCTTAAACTTTTTTGTGCATACGAATCACATGGGGATCTTGTTCAAAAGCTGGTTTTGATTCAGTGGATTTTGGACAGGGCTTATAGCTCTAGCAAATTTCCAGGTGATATTAATAACTGCTGGTGTCAAGGAGGTTCACATTTTGAGTAGCAAAGTTGTAAAACACATCCGCTCTAGCAATAAGGATTCAGGTAATGCAGAGCTGATAAATCAGTCACTCTATCATAAAATACATATTGGTCATCTACTCTCTCCAAATCCTATAAATTTATCCTCTCTGTTCTGGAGAGGGAAAAAAATCAAGCCTTTACATTAAATTTAACTTTAATACACCTGTTCTTTTCAAAAATTAAAAGTGCAATGACTATAATGTAGACTTTGACTTCCTATTGCCAATTAAGGTCCCTTGTCTTTACAATAATTATGTATAACATCCAGCCACAAACCCCAACACTCTCTGTCATGAAATAATGGTATCAACATGTTCTTTCACTTTTTTTCACAATATTTTTCTTTCTCTCTCTCTCTTCCTCCCTTTTGTTCTTCCCCCTCCCGCTTTCCCCCTTTCTCCCTCTTTCTCAGATCATTAAATGCAAAGCAGCTATCGCCTGGGAAGCAAACAAGCCCCTCAGCATTGAAGAGGTTGAGGTAGCTCCCCCTAAGGATCATGAAGTTCGAATCCAGGTGGGTATGGACTTTCCCAGGGCAGGATAAACAAGACACAGAATGCTGACTTGGCTTTGGTCAGGTCAGACCTATGTGGTTTTGACTGAGAGTTTCAAGAGTTTCCCACTGTGGGAGATTACGTTTTTAGGTTCACATCAAAAACAGGTATTCATTCCCAGGAGGGATAAATGATAAGAATCAGACATAGGAATTTACGTTAGATTAGAATTAGGTAGGTTTTCTTTTTGTTTTCCGGTTGCCAGTTATTGAAAGCTGTTTTAAAAGGAAGACTGAGAGTTTGGTTCAAAATAAGAAAAGATCTGAAGTGCTAAGGGTCTTGGGTGATCAGAGGAGGGAACAGAAGCGAGAGGGCAGGGAGAAAAGACAGACAGGACTGAGCAGAGAGGGATCATAGGTGACAAGGTGGGTCAATTTTTCTGTTTTCCCTATAGTTGACCTGGCTTATATTTTTCCTCAGGATCACCACAGTAAGAGTTTTTGCCTGAGAATGAATGAGATATCCTCATGAACAGAATCATAAAGAATAATGAAGGGATACTTTCTAATTAATTAAGATAATCCTTTATTTGATACAGCTCTTTTAACTATAAAAGTTTATTACCACAATTGTATTTCATTTAGTTTCAATGAAACCTAAACAAGCCCTAGAAGCCTGTGTTCCCTGCATGCCCTCTAACAGACTTCAGATTATTACCTTTGATTTCTCCTCCCCTAGAGACAGTGACGGCCAATTCTCTTGTGTGATTTTTCAGGGACAGTGACAGGAAGAAAACAAAGATGCATTAAGAGGAAAGAATATATCCTAATATACTTTTAACTGTTCCTTTTATTTTTCAAAATGCAGTTCTTTTATTGACCTCAATGAGTGTTATTAAGTTTCAAGGTGTCATTGGCCCTAAAATTATCCTAATAGCCCTAATGATATGATTACAGAAACAGGCCTCAAGTCTGTGATTGCTTTACAGATAATTGCCACCGCCCTGTGCCATTCTGATGCCCATATCCTCCATCCTCAATTTGAAGGGGGGTTTTTCCCAGTGATCCTTGGCCATGAGGCTGCAGGAATTGTGGAAAGTGTTGGGCCAGGAGTGACCAACTTCAAACCAGGTATTTTAATTTCTGATTCCAACTAAACAGAAACATCAGGGTATTTCAGGGATAATTTCTGCTACAGTCTTGCCTTTGCATGCTATAATTGATCTCTACTTAAATAAGGGGACCATCTTTTCCAAAGCAAAACTAAGACACACAATCTCACAATCTAGCAACAAGGCAGAATATCTGCAGTCAGAACTGTCTAATGAAATCTGGAAAACACAGTCACTTTATTTACATCCAGCACTGAAAAGTTGTCCTATGAAGCAAAGCTACAAAGTGAGCTTACACTGAAGCTTCCATGGGGACAAAGATGACAATTTATAGCAACCTCCTCTAAATAAAACACAACTATTTTAATATATAAAGAATGAAGACCCTTAGGTAGCTTAAGTGGGAAATATTATGCATATATCAATGTTAGCTGAAATGTTTTCTTGGGAACTTGTAAGATAAATATATATAAAGCATGCCAATAGCCAAAACTATTTACTTTACATGGTGTAACAGATCCACCACATACTGGAATATGAGCTATGCAATTGTCACTTATCTAGGATGAGCCTTATCATTCTTTCCTCCTTTAATGAGGATGCTTCAAACTGAGAGGTATATTAGTATCTTTTTGTTAGGTAGTTAGAATAGGAAATAGGAGTCCAAAATGGCGGTGGCTAAAAGACAAGGAAGGGAAAAGCCCGTGAAAATAGAACAAAGGAATGTCCGAGGACAGGAGTGAAGACTTCAGGTAGAACAAATAGCACTCCTGGCTAGCCCAACTTACATAGGGCAGGCCCAGGGGGGAGGAAAAGACATATTAAAGAGAGGAGCCAAAGAGCTGGGGGTCTCTCTCTCTTCCGAGCACTGGGGCACTCTTCTTTTCACGTCTTTGGATCGGCATGCCCTCACGACTTGAGGATGGATTTTCCTGCTATTTTCTAAATAAAATAGAGCTGTAACACGGAGCTGTAACACTGATTTGTCTAAGAGCTATAAGACGGTTTGTCCAAGACCAGAGAGCTGTGACGTGCCGAGGGCTTTAATGTCTCATCACATTTCTATTCCAAACAGGATTATAGAAGCAAATTGCTCTTCAAATTTTGGAATCTACGAAGAAGTCCAGCCAATTAAGGCACAGCTCTGCCACTTACTGGCTGTGTAACCTTAGTCAGCTAAGTCACTTTTCTGTGACTCAATTTAGATTTCCATTTTCTAAGATGGGGATAATAGTAGTACCCATCTCAGAGAGTTGTTCTGAGAACTAAAGAGATAATATATGCAAGCAGTTAGAATGGTGACTGACACATACTAAAGGTTGAACAAATGTTAATTATCATTACTGAACTTTAGTCATCAGAGGCTAGAAGTCTTTGTTAAATTCAAATTGAATAAAAAGTAGAAAAATGTAGAATTTGAGTGAACTATGGTGAAACATGGAGATGATATATAATTTACTCTCCATATCAAGCCTATTGCCCACATCTCCTATAATTAAGGTGTTCTATTCCCTACAGGTTGTTTACAAATGTAATAAATAATAGGCATGACATAATAAATAATAGTCATGATGCAGAGTGTTGCAAGGACAACAGAGTGTCAGACAGGACTCTGCACCTGATGGTATCAATACAGATGTGTTGCTTGACTGTCCAGCAGAGAAAAACAGAAAACAAAAGATAACATATTCAGTACTTGGGAGAAACAGCAATCTCATAGGTTAACAAAATATTGTAGCTACCTATACTTCCTACCGAATATAAGATATATACGATAAAGAATAGTGTTTTCCACCAATTCACCTGTTGAAAACTATTTATAAGTAACAACTCAGGCATCATCCAACACATGGCCTTTTTTTTTCTAGGTGACAAAGTAATTCCACTCTACGCACCTCAGTGTGGAAAATGCAAGTTCTGTCTGAGTCCACGCACAAATTTTTGTGGAAAACTCAAGTAAGCTCTATAAACTATTAGTAAGATAGCTGGTACAAATATTTTGAGCAGTACATTGGCATACCTAAATGGAGTTGAAAATGTTCATATTCTGTAACCACCAATTCTTGGTGTGTATAAGAAACCATTGCAAAATCACCCAAATTGACATGCACTATTATGATCACTGCCACATTGTAATAACAAGAAATTGAAAATAGGGCAAATGTCTATCAATAGGAGAACAGATTAACAATCACTGTGTAGTAACACAATGGAATTACCATATAAAAATGAGAATAGCTAAACTTGCTCTAAATGTTTCAACCCAGAATAATCTCACAGATATAATGGGAAGGGAAAGAAGCAAGTTTATGACATATATTTAGTCATATACAATAACAATACCATATACTGTATTGTTTATGGTTCATGTGAATACAGTAAAGAAAATGATAAATGCCAAATTCAGAATAATAGCTACTTCTGAAAGGTTGCTGCTGAGCCATGAAAGACTGGGATTCTTGGCCTCCAGAGGAGAGGAATTCAATCTGGGGCCAGTGACAAGGCTTGATCACTCAGAGCTTTTGTGTAATAAAGTTTTATTGAAATATAAAAGAGAGAAAGCTTCTGACATAGATATCCGAAGGGGGCAGACAGAGTTCCCCTGCCCCGCGGCCCCCCCCCCCCCCAACCCCCGCCCTCCCTGCTAGTCTTTAGCGGGAAATCATATAGTTTTTAGCAGGCTGCTAGGAGAAGGCAATGGCGCCCCACTCCAGTATTCTTGCCTGGAAAATCCCATGGATGGAGGAGCCTGGTGGACTGCAGTCCATGGGGTCACTAAGAGTCAGACACGACTGAGCAACTTCACTTTCATTTTTCACTTTCATGCATTGGAGAAGGAAATGGCAACCCACTCCAGGGTTCTTGCCTGGAGAATCCCAGAGACGGGGCGAGCCTGGTGGGCTGCCGTCTATGGGGTCGCACAGAGTCGGGCATGACTGAAGTGACTTAGCAGCATGCTGCTAATTAGAGAAAGGAAATGTCTCAAAACTCAGAGTTGTACCAGGCCCCTCACCCACAACATGTATTTTGAGATAACATTGGCACAAGGTAAATCATCCCCGGCCATAAAGTGATTGCCATGAATCCTGAAGAAAGGCAGGTTTCCAAGCAAGTATATGGTTTCATTAACATAGATTAGGAGAACAATTGTATGAGTAAAACATATTGGGTTCTGAGTTTTACGTGGAACCTACTTGAAGACAGACACTAGGGTGAATACGTAGCTCATTAACATAGCTTAAGAGAAAGTTTCCATAAGAAGAATGCATTGGTTCGCTCAAGGTTTGAGAAAAGTTAAATTCAGGTGGAGCCAGGTGTCATCTCGGCAGCACAAAATTTTAAGAGAAACCTCCTTTTAAGTTTGTATAGAGAAGGGGAAAAAAATCTGACACTTGTAGTTTGCTTCCTCCTGCCACTTAAGAGAGAGAAAAAATGTCTGACACTTGCAGCCTATTTCCTCCGTTTGGAGACCCCTAGCCTTCCTGCCTTTTACCCTCTCATTCCTGTCTTTTCTTTTAGGAGAATTATGTTGCCTAGGGAAAGGGGAGTCATTCTCATTCCATAACTGCTTCCAAGCTGGTAAGGGGCATTGTCCCTAAATTTGTCAGGGTTAGTCTCCTAACCCTCATATTGAGGGTCTCTGATCCAAGGGCCCCAAGCTGGAGGAAGTTGCCACAGTCAACAGGAGTTTGAGCAACCATTTGTAACTTACAAACCTTCATGCAACTAGAAAGAAATCCAGCTACAAGTTACAGATGCGGGGAGCAAAGAGCAAAAACAGAGCAGTAAGCAAAAAGTCATATTATGTCCATAGTTAAGGTACAAAGTGTTGCACCAGTCGATTTTAGGATTCTTAGATGTCATCAGATTAATGAGGCATCACATACGATTGCTGTTATCCAAGGTAGTCACAGATTTGAAGAAAGTCCTTTCCCTGAAGTGGAAGGACTCCACCATGGGAAGTCATCCACTGATGAAGAGGGGAGCACTCCACAGACCCAATAGTTAGACCGATTGTGGAATGCAGTGTGGGAGTAAGCCCAGGACAGGAAGGCATTATCTTGAAGATCAAAGAGCAGACTCAAGAATTTTGGAGTCAGCAGAAGCAGGCTCACATAGATTATCAGGTCCATCTGAAAAGTACAAAGTAAGAGCATAAAAAGTAAAGGCATAAAATGACATCACTTAGCTCTGGTCAGGGTGCCACTTCTTAACTCAAGTGTGGTGCACCCACGAATCAATTCCTGGCACTTTGACAGCTGTGGAAAAAGAAAGAATAACCTGGTAAGGGCCTTCCCAGAGGGGCTCGAGGGATTGGCCCCCAGACTCCAATGCTTTTATCAGGACCTCAGTTCCTGGCTCAAACAGAACCTTTTTTGACTCAGAGGCTGGGTCAGAAGTTATCTCCCAGAGTTCCTTTAATGCCGGTTGAAAAGCTGAGAGCTGAGTTACATAATTTGTTAATTCCAAGGCTTTAGGAAAACTTTTCCACTGAGCATTTTCAGGAATTACTGATTGTCCATCCTCAGACTATAACCATCCTTTATCAGTAACCTTTGCTCCTCTTTTCTCATATCTTTCTAATTCTTCCTCAGTATATTGTGGTTTTCCTTATCCATAGAACCTGTCCAGATCAAAGGCCTCTGTAGTGAAGGGGTTTCTTTAAGTGCCACCTTTCCAGCTTGACAGCCAGCTGATTACCCTTGGCTACTTTACCCCTGTCCCTGCTGTGCCCTTTGCAATGCATAACAGCTACTTCTTTAAGACAATATATAGCAGTTAAAAGTCTCTCAATCTCTCTGAAATGTGCTTAATAGGTTCTCCTGTTGCTGTTTTAAATTGTCTTTCTTTCCAATTTGCAGCATGAGCATGTAAAGTCAAATAAGCATACTTAGAATCAGTGTAGATATTTACTCGCTGCCCTTTCTTAACTCGAGAGCCAGAACCACAATCTCCAGATTGAGCCAGAATGAGTGCTAGCTGAGCACTCGTTCCTTGGGAGAGATTTTGCTTCTAAAACCTGTTCATATGGCAGTTCTATTTCCAGTTTTTTAAGAAATCTCCACACTGTTCTCCATAGCGGCTGTACTAGTTTGCATTCCCACCAACAGTGTAAGAGGGTTCCCTTTTCTCCACACCCTCTCCAGCATTTATTGCTTGTAGACTTTTGGATAGCAGCCATATGACCCAGCAATCCCACTTCTGGGCATACACACCGAGGAAACCAGATCTGAAAGAGACACGTGCACCCCAATGTTCATCGCAGCACTGTTTATAATAGCCAGGACATGGAAGCAACCTAGATGCCCATCAGCAGACGAATGGATGAGGAAGCTGTGGTACATATACACCATGGAATATTACTCAGCCATTAAAAAGAATTCATTTGAATCAGTTCTAATGAGATGGATGAAACTGGAGCCCATTATACAGAGCAAAGTAAGCCAGAAAGATAAAGACCATTACAGTATACTAACACATATATATGGAATTTAGAAAGATGGTAACGATAACCCTATATGCAAAACAGAAAAAGAGACTCCGATGTATAGAACAGACTTGTGGACTCTGGGAGAAGGCGAGGGTGGGATGTTTCAAGAGAACAGCATCGAAACACGTATATTATCTAGGGTGAAACAGATCACCAGCCCAGGTTGGGTGCATGAGACGAGTGCTCAGGCCTGGTGCACTGGGAAGACCCAGAGGGATCGGGTGGAGAGGGAGGTGGGAGGGGGGACCGGGATGGGGAATACATGTAAATCCATGGCTAATTCATCTCAATGTATGACAAAAACCACTGCAATGATGTAAAGTAATTAGCCTCCAACTAATAAAAATAAATGAAAAAAAAAAACAAAACAAACAAACAAAAAAAACCTGTTCAGCCATTACCATGGCATAACCTGCTTTATGCTTCCTATCCCGAACAAAAGAACTGCCATCTGTAAATATTTCCATGTCAGGATTGTCTAATGGGGTTTCCATCAGATCTTCCTGAGCTGCATAGTTTAAAGTTAGAAATTGGGAATAATCATGATCAGGTGTTTCATTTTTCCTTCTCAGGAAAGAAAGTGGCAGGATTTAAGTTTCCACAAACTTTAAGCTTAGTTACTTGTCCTTCTAACAACAATGACTGATATTTAAGGCAACTGTCTGTCATCCAAATATTAAACTTAGAGTTTAAGAATACACTCCTATAGGCTGTTGGTGAGGCCTTTGCGGTTTTGTAAAAAATCCCAAGGCCATACCTTTCCTTTCAGTGACAAACAAATTAATTTCTGACCCTGTGGGCAAGCTCAAAGCTGGAGCTTACAAGAGAACAGTCTGAAGAGCCTTAAAAGCCTTTGAGTATCTGGAGACCAAACCAGTTCGTCAGTTTGGGCTTGTTGAGTTTCAGTTATAAGTTTATACAAAGGCTGGGCAAGTTTCCCATAACCAAGAATCCAAATGCAGCAGTACCCTATGATTTCAAAAAATACTCTCAATTGTCTTAAAGTCATAGGTAGAGGATGATTTAATATAGGTTTAACTCAAAAAGTGAACTTCAAATCAATGACTAAAAAATATTTGGCTGTCCAGGAATTTCAGACAATAGACTATAAGGATTAGGCACCACGGGGTGTAAAGGAACTACAGCCTCATTTATTGTTTGTAAATCTTGAACTAGTCTCCATTTATCATTTGACTTCTTTATACCCAAAATAGGAGTGTTGCACAGATTGTTACGGGGATTTAATAGCCCCAGCTCCTTTAAATTCTCAATGATGGGTTTTAACCCTTCCTTAACCTCGGGTCTCAGTGGATACTGCTTTTTATGTGAAAATAAGTGCGGGTATTTGAGCTTGACAACTACAGGAATAGCGTTCTGTGCTCAACCCACAGTTTTTCCATCAGCCAACACTCTAGGATTTACATTTTGTTCAATTAAAGGGAGAGAAAGGGAGGGCTCCATATTC